AACGTTAAAGAATATTCTGTTAACAAAAGTGCCTACCTATTAGAGACAAAGGTAGGAGCATGGAATGAGGTGGCAAAGCCATCTGAAGCTCTAGAAAGTTCCGGCTGCTGCAGAAGCAAACTCCAATGCAAGTTCTTACAGAAGCCAGAAAAATCTCTCACTAAACCCAAGCCTGAGCATTAAAAAGATATTAGATAAATATAATATTGAGTATAATATTTTCTGTCCCAGTTCGCATAAAACAATAAAAGTGTCAAAAACATGCTTGTCATTGGAAAACACCTTAAAAAAATGTAACCAGCTGTCTGTGTTGAGTTTGCACGTTTTCCCCATGTCTGCATGGGTTTCCTCTGGGTGCTCCAGTTTCCTCCCACAGTCCAAAGATGACCACTTTAGATAGATTGGCTGTACTAAATTGCCCCATAATGTCCAGGGATGTGCAGGTTAGGTGGATTAGCCATGGGAAATGCAGGGTTATGGGCATAGGGCAGTGAGTGGTGGTTCTATGTGGGAGGCTCTACAGAGGGGCAGTGCGCACTCAATGGGCTGAATGGCCTGCTTCCACATTGTTGGGATTCTATGATAATGTTATTCATTTACTGTCTTCAGTTATATGTTTATTTTACTTTTCCTTGGCATTAATGGCTAGGATAACATTTATTGCCCATCCCTAATTGCCCCTAAGAAGGTGGTGGTGAGCTCCCTAGTTGAACTGCTGCTGTCCTTGGAGTATAGGGTCTGTGCTGTTATGAATGTAGCTCAAGGATGTTGACCCAGCGACAGTGAAGGATTGGTAATATAGTTCCTAAGTCAGGGTGGTAATAAAGGCAAAATATTGTGGATGCTGGAAATCGGGAGTAAAAACAGAAAGTGCTGGAGAAAACCAGCATGTCTGGCAGCATCTGTAAGAAAGAAACAAAGTTAACCTTTCAAGTATGATAGGGCACTTCTTCAGAATAAGATTCGTATCTGGATTCCGAACATTAACTCTGTGTTTTTCTCTCCACTGATGGTGCCAAACATGCTGAGTTTCTCCAGCACTCTCTGTTTCCAAGTCAGGATAGTGAGTGACCCGGAAAAGAACTACGTATCTGCCCTTGTCCTTCTAATAGGTAGAAGTCGTGAGTGTGGAAGGTGCTATTGAGGGAGGGAGGCTTGCTGAATTACTGCAGTGCATCTTGTAGATGGTACAGATGGCTACCACTGTGTGTCCATGGACGGAGTGAATGTTTAAGGTGACGAACGAGATGCCAATCAAGCTGGCTGTTTTGTCCTGGGCGGTGTTGAGTTTGTTGGGTGTAGTTGGAGGTGCACTCATCCAAACAAGTAGACAGCATTGTATTACACGCCTGTGGTTTACATCGTGGACTGGCTTGACGATTCAGGAAGTCTCAGAATCACCAGATTCTGACATTCTGTTGCAGCCAATATTTATATGGCCGGATCAGTTCAATTTCTGGTTAATGGTAACTCAAAAGTGGGGGACACAGCAATGGTAATGCCTTTGAACATCAGTTGGATTCTCTCTTTCTGGAGATGGTCATTGCCTGGTAATTGTATGGTATATGTGTACTTGTCACTTATTAGCCCAAACCTGGATGTTGCCTAAGTCTTGCTGCATTATGGCCGCAAGCTAATTCAAAATATATGGAATATCTTATCTACACATCACAGTAACTGTATAATATATTAAACCATCTGACAATGACTTAGTCCTTCCGTCACCTTCTTCCATTATATATTCCTTTATCCATATTGATACCTTTGTAATGTGTAACCTGTCCAATACTAAGACAGATCTATTTTTCATCCAATATCTGCTGACCTATATTGGCATCCCATCCCAAGGAATGTCAAATTTAAAATAATCTTTAAATGGCTCTTTGTCCTCAGTCTGTTGTACCTCTGCACCTTCCTCCAGTCTTCTGCCCTTCCCCTTCCCCAGACTGTGTTCAACTCTGGTCTCCCTGCTATAGGAAAGATTTGTTAAACTTGAAAGGATGCAGGAAAGATTTACAAGGATGTTGCTGGGGTTGGAGGGTTTCAGGTATAGATGGTGACTGAATAGGCTGGGGCTATTTTCTCTGGAGTGTTGGAGGTTGAGGAGTGACCTTATAGAAGTTTGTAAAATCATGAATGAAATGGATAAGGTGA